TCTCTCTCTCTCTCTCTCTCTCTCTCTCTCTCTCTCTCTCTGTGGATGATGAAACCTTTCCCCCCCTCTCTCTCTCTCTCTCTCTGCGGATGATGAAACCTTTCCCCCCCCCTCTCTCTCTCTCTCTCTCCCTGGATGATGAAACCTCTCTCTCTCTCTCTCTCTCTCTCTCTCTCTTACACACACACACACACATGAGACTTTTATTCAATGGACGTGAGATTTTATTTCAGTTTTGATGTGTTATTATGTGGAGAGAGAGAGAGAGAGAGAGAGAGAGAGAGAGAGAGAGAGAGAGAGAGAGAGAGAGAGAGAGAGAGAGAGAGAGAGATTTCATCATCCTGCTCTCAGATGTGATGGGGTGCATGTTCTTATTACATGTTTGCTGTCTGCAGGCAACAAGGGGGTTGGATATGGTGGGAGGTGCAGTAATGCGGTCATATTTCCTTTGCCAGCGAATGCTCCATTTCGTGCAGAACTTCGTTCACTACATGACCTTTGAGGTACGTAAGCCGTTCAAATGCACACTCGTTATCGCTGTATCTGGACTGAAAGTTGGACTAAGTGCAGCTATAACTTTGTTCCCGGCGTGACATTCAGACAAGTGGAAGTGCTGCTGCAGTGCATATCATCCTCTTCATCGTTCAGGGAAGGCTTCTTAGTATTGCAGCTACTGCCTTGAACACCCCCAACTTTTCCTTCTTTTGAATCCCTACACTTGTAGAAATTGCTATTTGGTGCGCAACATTTGGCTGATCCGTGCCGCCCGCGGCCTACCGGCCGACAGCCCGGATTTCCGTGCGATCTGAAGACTTTAAGACTAAGATCATGCGGTGATCCAGACTGTCCGCTTTGCCGGACGGCCTGGATCTACACGTGATCTTAAAGTCTTAAGATCGCGCGGAAATCCGGGCCGTCGGCCCGGTAGGGCCGTGGGCGGCCCGGATCGGCATGCCCGTTGAGAAGAGGGCCTGTTGCGGGGCGGCGCCATTGCCCTCTTCGCGTCGAACGGCCCGTTGGGTCAAGGGCTGTCCGACTTCGTGCAACTGCCCTACGCGACAAAACTACTGCCGTACGCGACAAACTACTGCCCTTCCTAAGAAACTGCCCTACGCGACAGAATGCCCTACGTACGGCGTTCTTGGTACTGTGCCCTACGGTCTTGCCTACGCGACCTACTGACTTGCCTACTCCCACCTAGGCGACCTACCCGACCTGGGCGACATACCTACAGCCTACATGATCCATGCAACCTGCCTACGGCCTGCCTACCGTAACGCTCTCTCTCTCTCTGTGGATCTCTCTCTCCCTCTCTCTCTCTCCCTCTCTCTCTCTCCCCCCCCTCTCTCTCTCTCTCCCTTTTTTCTCTCAGTGCTTGGTACTTCGTGCTTGGTCGTGTTTGGTTCGTGCATCGGTGCCACTTTTGTGCTACTTGGTGCTACTGGGTGCAGTTGTGCTACTTCGTGCCACTCCGTGCTTGGTTTGGTTTCGGTGCTACGTGCATCTGCGATTGGTTCGTGGGATCCGTGCTTCGTGCTAAGTCCAATGGTGCTACATGCCTCGTGGAATCGGTGCTTGGTTCAGTCTGGCATAGTCGAACCTTTTTTTATGGAGTTGTGTAAAGCGAACATGACGTCACACACACGCACACAGATGCATCTTGGGCAGACTGTCGGGGTTCAACCTCCGATGAAACAGTCTGGACAGTCATGCTTCCTTTTTGGCATGCACGAAGGCACGAGAGAGAGAGAGAGAGAGAGAGAGAGAGAGAGAGAGAGAGAGAGAGAGAGAGA